TTTTGAAGATCATTGTTGAACAAAGAGAAGGCTTGCTTGGTGCAGCAGAGAGTACAGACTTAAGATTCAAGAAGAGGTACAGAAAGTTGTTTGAGCACATGTGGCTTGTCAAAGGAAACAGGGCTGCAGAGTGCTGCTTTCTTTTTCCACAGAGGGTATGTCTGTTCTTTCAGAATAGACCTAAGGAGTGCCCTGTTAGGCCTTCTGGGCTAATGTACTGAACTATTCTAATGTCTCTCTGAAGGCTAGCTTTACGTCCTGGCTGTGTGATTGGTGTCCTGAGCTTCTGTTTCTCTGTGAAATCAAATAAGATAGCATATCACATGCCAAGCTATCCACCCAACTTAGGGGGGAGGCTCAGGAAAGGGGAGTTCTCTTCTCTGCTCTTTCATGTCGAGGACAAATGCATATCAGGGTTGGAAATGACAAGAGTAAACATATAATTAGGGTGGAGATCTATTTCTGAATAACTCATAAATCATCTGAAACCAGTTTCCTGTTGACAGTCAATCCTCAGTAAACACCAGGTGTGTCCTTGGCACATTATCTTTCCTAATCATGCCAGATAGGTGGTAGTCCTCTTCTATATAAGTTTGCTGTGACTTTCCCTGGATGTACATGCTCATAAGGACTCTAGCTCATTAAAATGGTAAGTAACTGGTTGTTTCATACATAAAGGCCAGTAAAAGAAAAAAGTATATATCGTATATTCCTCATTTTAATGTGCTGTGATGTGTTTCTACTGGATATAATTTAATGATAAATGTGAGCCTAATTATGAATCTTTTATAGATTACTTGCAGTTCAGTGTGTGGAGTATAATGAGAGGCTGGGAGCTTCAGAAAACTCTTAATGAATTTAGTGCTATTTCTCTAAGATCAAAGTTGTTTCTTCCTGTAATTTTGGGATTCAATTAGGCTTTATGTGTGTCTCTAATTCTTGAGTGATTTGTGAATTAATATAATTTCAGAGCTACAGCACTGAATCCTTTTACAGATGAGAAAATGAGCCTCCTGTTTGGAAGAAGCAGTCACTAACCTGTGGGCAGCTGAAACAGGAACCCAGGTGTCCCTCTCTCTAGGCCAGTGGCTCCTAAACCAGGCTGCACAGTGGAATCACCTGGGCATGTTTGACAAGTACTGACATCTGACTCCCGCACCAAACACTCTGAATTAATTGGTCTGCAGTGTGTCCTTGGGAATTGCGGGGGCGGGGGCGGGGAGGGGGGGAAAAAAATGGTAAAAGCTATCCAGGTGATTTTAATATTCAGCAAAATTTTAGAACCATCCCCCTAGGCTCTTTTTAGTGTATCATGTTGTATTAAGAGAAAATTTTGCATCAAAATCTATGAAAATTTATCTATTCTTTCTGTCTTTATTTCATACTTGGTCTTTTGCTAAAGTCAGAGAAAGGGGAGGAGCTGGTAGCTCTGGGGGTGCAGTGGAGCACAGGGAGGAAGTGGTCAATGAATAGGAGTAGAAAAGCCTCCCTCAGGCCACACCTCAGAAACTGTCTCAGACAGACAAAGCTGGGAATAGTACAAAAAACAGTAGGATGGGAGCTTGCTACTCCATTCAGGTCTCTCCTCCAGCTTCAGAGTAGACTGTAAGTTGCAGAGCTGGCAATGTCCTTGCCCTGCCTAGAACCCTTAAAGATACCTGACTCTTGATCATGTGTGGAAGACCCAAGGAGCAGCAGCTTACCTAAATGGACACTATATCTAGGCACTGCTTCACTCTAAGCCTGGCATGAAACCATACCATCCTGAAAGTACACAAACACCTGCCTCACAGCTGCACTGTAGCTGTTCCTGCACATACCAGGTGCTTATCTTTACTGAATGCTGCAAAGAAAGGAAAGGGAGGGAAGGGACGTGGAGAAACAATATGGGAAAAGGAAAGAACTTTAGAGCTTTTCTACTGAGGTGGTTGGTCCTCAGACCAGCAGCATGAGCATCACCTGGAAGCTTGCTAGAAATTTGGACTCTTTGAGTCCCAACAAAGCAGAGTCTGAATTTTATTTTACAAGATTTCCCAGGGATTCATATCCACATTAAAGCAGCACTGGCTTTGATCATGTTTCATGTGCTTCTCACCTGGGAGACTTGGTAAAGATGAAAGGGCCTTGGCCCTGCCCTTCTTCAATGAGCTTGAGATTGTATTTGTTATTAAGCCTGGGTTACTTTGATGCCCACCCAAGCAGGAGAATCTTTGTTATTACAGGGAAGGAAACAGACTGAGAGACAGACAGACAGACAGACAGAGCCAGCCCATAGAGGTTATATGCAAGTGGTTAATCTCAAAACTGTATACTTTGCAGTCTCCTGTCATCGTGTTTGGACTTCATTCTTGAATCATCAATTAGAATGCCTAGTTCAGAGCAGCAGAAGATCTGGGAATTCTGCACCCTTCACTCACCCTGGGCTGTAGCCCTGGCTTATGCCCTTTCATGCCTCTGTTCTGTGACTAGATAAAACAGGACCTCCAAGATTCCTGTGATCACCAGCGACCCCCAGAAGCCCTTTTCCTGTATGAAGGGAGCACAGACTCTGTCAATAATGTTGGCTTTTAAATTTAATTTAATGTTGCGAAAAGTTTCAGGTTCCCATGATCATCTTAAGCTGAATATTATGCAAAAGAATAAAACACAGAGAGCAAGTGCATCTTCAAGTTCTGACGTGAGCTAAGTATATTGAGAATTTCTTGTAGGAATTGATTTATTTCTTTTGGCTATAAAACCAATGCATTTCATTGGAGACAATTTAGAAAATAAGGGGGAAAGCCCAAAGAAAAATCCACAGCTCAAAAATCACTTGTTAAAATTTGGTACAAAAACTTTAATCTTTTTCTGAACATTTCCCTCTATGTAGATCTTTTTTACATTATAGGAATAACACTGTGCAAATCTTTTTGTAACCTACCTTATTTTACTTAGTCATAATAGTGATCATTTATGTCATTTCATATTCTCTTACCTCCTAACCTTACCAGTTCTTTTTTCCCCCCGAATCACCGTGTTCTCAAACAGCCCTGTTTTGGGACATTTTTATTATTTCCATTTCCCTATTATGGTGAGCATCCTTGAGGAGGAGTCTATCTCCTTCTGTGTGCTATTCTTCTTATGATCAAGCCTTAAAAGTGAAAAAGGTGAAGTCAAATGTAAACTGTTTTAAGAATGTGGGTATACATGATCAAACTGTGCTCCATAAAGATTATTCCAACATAAACTATTCTTATACAATTCACTTCCCAGATATACCTCTATTTCCCATGGGAGATTAGAAATTAAATAATAATTTTTGTCATCACATTATGATTCTATTTTATTTACATATTGGCATTTCTTGTCTCATCAGTAAGTTGAACTTTTCCACATGTTTATTCATCATTTGTATTTGTGTGTGAGTAGAAATGCCACTTTATTTTCCTTACCATTTTTCTACTAGGATATTTTGATTTTTTCCATTGATATACAGAAATTTTTTATATGATAATGCTGTTCTCTAAATTTGGTAACTGTTTTTTAATTTTGCTTATGGACATAACATTTACATATTCAAAACAATTTCTTTTTTATACTTAGAATAAGATAAATATTTACTTATATTTTCTGTGATTAGTTTATGGTCTTCAATTTTTTTTTAAATTGATTTCAGAGAAAGGGGAAAGGAGGGAGAAAGAAAGGGAGGGAAACACCAATGTGAGAGAGAAATATTGATCAGTCACCTCTTGTATACACCCTGACTGGGGACCAAACCCACAACCTAGACATGTGTGCCCTGACTGGGAATTGAACCCCAGACCTTTTGGTTTGTGGGATGATGCCCAAATAACTGAGCCACACCAGCTAGGACTAAAGTTTTTAAATTATAGTTGACATGCTATATTATATTGGTTTCAGGTGAATCTGTCACCATACAGTTAATTCATGATCTTATTGTAAAAATTTAACCTTCAAATCCTTTCTTTCAGAATTAATTTGTGGAAAGTAAATTAGAAAATTAACTTTGTTTCTTTTCAAAATAGCCCCCATTTGTTTTAATATTATTTATTGAATAATCATTGTCTAAATATTTCAAAGACTAAGTTTATCTTATAATAAACTTTTATATGTATTTATAAATATACTTTCTGGGGTTTCTATGCTGTTCCCTTCTCTTTCTATTCTTATATCAGTAATGTACTACTTCAGTAATATCAGTTCGTAATTAATTTTTGACATCTTACAGAATAAGCACTCTCACCCCACCTCCTTTTTACAAGGTTCTTGAAAATGCCCACATAAAGTTTGTTTGTTTATTTAGTTTGTTCATCTCAAAATGATGACAAAAGCAGCTTGATACTTTTCTTTGTCCTTCAGAGCCAGTATCAGCTAGATGAACTAATATGTTCACGCAGCCATCAACAATGCCTTTATTACCTGGAAAATGAAGTTCTTAGCCTCATGGTCTAAGAACTCCAGCTAATTCAGCTCCATCAAGTCTCCTATTGTGTTTTCTTAATCTTTGTGTTAACATTTTATTATCTTCCCAAAGCTCTCTTCCACTCCCTCATTTCTGTCTTTTAAATTATATATACTCTGTAAAGAGACTAAAAATTCACCCATCTGCAGGGCTTCCCTGAACCTCCTTTGTAATAAAATAGCACACTATCATTATTTTTATTGGTCTCTGACCTTCGACTCACATTTAACTCCTTTTTCAGTTTATTTTAGTAACTTGTGTAGGTCTTGTTCCTTTGCTTGATTACTTGATGGTAGAGGCTCCAGCTTTAAACCACCTGCCAGAGCCTAGCAGGGGTCATCCTACAGGACACCCAGTCAATGACTGCCCTCTGAATTCATTTGTTTTCCTTCCTGACCCTTATTTTTTTTTAATATTGTTTTTAGATTTTATTTATTTATTTTTAGAAAGAGAAGGGAGGGAGAGAGAGAGAGAGAGAGAGAGAGAGGAACATCACTGTGCGGTTGCTGGGGGCTGACCCTTATTTACATTACAGAATGCTCTTTTGGGCACCCTCGTGATTTTGGTGAACTTGGTGACCTTATGCAATGCACACTGCTATATTATGCCTAATCCAAACACTCCAGGTGATTTATTTAATGGTAAGTCCTGGCTTTTCAAGTTTATTTTACTGCAGGCTGGTAGATATAACCTGTTGGCAGATCAAGGCCTTTAAATCTCCATGGGAAGGAGGGTTAGGGCAGATATCAAATGGCATAAAATGAGAGGCTTCAATTTGCCATTTATATAAAACAGTAGTTCTCAACACTAGGTGTATGAGAAGTGCCTGGAGAGCTTTTGAAAACTACCAATGCTCAGGCGCCATCCAAGACCACAAATCAGAATCTCTGGTGTAGGAACTGAGTATTTAAAAGCTGCTTGATTGCCCCCCTACGTGCAGACGAAGAACCATCAATTATTCCACAGTAGTACTTCTCAAACTTCAATGTTCAGGTAAACCCTCTGAGAATCTTGTTAAATTAAAGGTTCTGATTTTGTGGGCCTGGAGTAAGAGTGCAAATTTGCATGTCCAACCCAGCCTCAGGTAGTGCTGATAGTAATTCCTCAAGACCACGAAGAATTAAAGCAGTGGTTGTCACCCTTGGCTGAATATTTGAATCACTTGGGGGAGTTTTTTTAAAGTATGGCAGCCTGGCCCCCATGACCAGAGATTCTGATTTTACTGTTGTGGGGTAAGACTCAGGCATAGATTTTTTTTTAATACCCAAAATGTTTTACATGTTTGTTTAGAGTTGAGAAGCAAAGCAAAGAGGTACAAAAATGAGACATTTATCCAGAAATAATCCATCAGAAAACAAAACAAAATAAACAAAAAACTTGGCCCCAAGTATCCCTAGAATCATAATAGTTATCTGATTAAAGAGGAAGGCCTTATTTTTTTTTTCTTATAATGTCTGTACTGAAATAAAATCTGGAAGGATTTAAGCTTGCTGTAAGAAAAAATGGTCAGTGGCAGGAACTTGACAGTACTGAAACAGCTGCGGGAGAACATAGAAGCACTTTTCATAGATGCCCTTAAAAACAATTAGATTTTTCCCTCTCTGGGAGGGGTGCAGATGACAGGGGCTGGCCCCAGGTCCTACAAGCCTTGTTCCAGTTGCATGACTTGAGGATACCACTTTTGATGCCACATTTATTATTTTAGAATGTAAGGATCTCACTGGGGTCATTCACCCACTGAACTCCAAGTGGAAGACTGAGTACTGTGAGGAGTATTATTGTGACCAAGATGGAATTAGCTGCTGTAAAATGTAAGTACCAAGCCAGCAGTGCCAAGAAGGGGTGCAGCTGCTGTTGGGTTGCTCTCTGAGGTACAAATGCTCCCTCTTTCAAAATCTCATCCTGAAGGGGGGTTAGTTTTCAGTGCAATTTCTCTTTTAATTGTTGTAAAATATACATACTATAAAATTTATCATTTTAACCATTTTAAGTGTAAAATTCAGTGGCATTAAGTACATTCACAATTTATTTATTTTCTTTACCTGAGGGCATTTTTTTCATTGCTTTTATTTATTTTTTTAAAAGATTTTATTTATTTATTTTTAGAGAGAGGTGAAAGGAAGGAGAAAGAGAGGGAGAGAAACATCAATGTGTGGTTGCCTCTCATGAACCCCCCACTGGGGGACCTGGCCCGCAACAGAGGCATGTGCCCTGATTTGGAATTTGAACCAGCGACCCTTTGGTTTGCAGCCCACACTCAACCCCTTGAGGTACACTAGCCAGGGATTTTTTTTGTTGCTTTGAGAGAGAGAGGGAGAGAGGGAGGGGGGAGAGAGAGATTCTGGTTCACACTAAACTGGTAACCTAGGTATATGCCCTGACCAGGAATTGAACCCATGACCTTTTGGTCTATGCTCCAACCAACTCAGCCACACTGGCCAGGGCAAGTACATTCACTTTTTTGTGCAACCATCTCTACCATTCATCTTCAGAACTCTTTCATCTTCGCAAACTGAAACTCCCTACCCATTAAATAACTCTCCATTCCCTCTTCTCCTTAGTCACTGGCAACTACCATTGTACTCTTTGTCCCTATGAATCTGACAACTCTAAATGGGATTGTATAGTATTTGTCCTTTTGTGAATGGCTTATTTCAGTAGAATGTCCTCAAAGATCATTGAAGTTGTAGCATGTCTCAGAATTTCCTTCCTTTTTAAGGCTGAGGAATGTTCCATTGTATACATATATACCACATTGTATTTATGCATTCATCTGTTGATAGACATTTGAGTTGCTTTCACCTCAGTCTTATTTCTTTTAAGTTGTTTTGAAACTTGATAAATATATTTATTATTAATACCTATATCCAGATGGGTTGCTAAAGATAGGAAATGATACCCAGTGGTCTGAAGCTATTCTAGAATTTAGCTGGTTTTACTTCAGCCTTGGCCTGTGGTGATTTGCAAGAACAGTAGTGGGTCTGAACACAGGCAGAGGGAATGGGTGTGGGGTATAAAGGATATTCTGTGGTTTTCCTCATACTCTAAACCCTAGTTTCTTTACTGTTTAAGTGTAACTTGTGTCAGCCCAAAGATTGTGCAAATGTTTTCTGCTGGCTTTCTGTGGACGCCAAAGGTCTCTAGCACTTGGGCCAACAGAACTGAGTGTACCTCCAGTGTGGTCCTAATTTTTGTTTCCTCAGTAGCCACACCCATACAGCTACTCCATTCCCCACCACCCCTGGAAAATCCATTTGACATGTTCACTTCAGTCTTGCCCTATAGTATTTTGGAGGAATAGAAGAGGCTTTGATGAAAGAAGAACTGGTATCAAGTAGTGTTTCCCAAACTTGCCTGATCACAGACTCATCTGGGAAACCTGATAAAATACAGATTCCTGGGGCCCACCCCAGGACCTATTGAATCAGAAGCTATAGGGGCCAAAGAAATCTGAATTGTAACAAGTACCTCAGAGAGTCTTATGACACCACCAGTGAGCAGAGGAGCAAGCACTAGACTTAAATCAGACATCTGAGTGTCCAAAAAGTTTCAAATACATTTAACTGAGCATGCCCCATGCTAAGTGCTTAATGGAACAAAAGGGATATCAAATCAGGTTTTCTGGCTGGCTGCCCCACTCAGGTCCCCAGGTTTTATCTCATTTGGGTCACTGCATATCACAGCTGTACCTTGATCTTGTAGCTCCAGATATTTGACATTGTCTTTGTGTCTAGTGTCAATGTGACTCTGTGTATTTATGAAGTTTAAGGGCTAGTGAGCCATTCCTCCACACCTGCTTGTGGGTACATTGCCGCACACCTCCTTCCAAAGTGGCCAAAGCATCCATGCCATCTGGATTTGAAACCTCCACCCCCATCAATGCTGCATCACTATAGCCCTGTCAATACAACTCTCTTCTAAGGGGTCCCATGAACCTAGTACAGAAAAGAGTGAAGTGGGAAGAACCTTGATGCTAGAGTCAGAGTAATGGAATCTGAATCTCCATTCCCTTGTATACCTGCTGTGTGATCATGGATACATTTCCTAATCTCTCTGAGCCTCAGTTTCCTCACAGCAAAATAGGGGTGATCAGGTGTATGTGTAAATTAAATGAGATTCTGCATATAAATTTATTAACTCAATATATATTAATGTCTTGTCTATGCCAGTTGGTGTCCCTTGAGCCTGGGATAGTAATCAACACCAGTTGGAACTCAAAGTGTTCCCTCATTCCTTCCATGTGCCTGTCTCATTTGGCACATTGCTCCACAGAGAGGAAATGTGTATGTTTCTCTCTACTGTTCAAAGCCAACTTGATTCCTTGTAATTGCCTCACAGCTTACCAAGTTTGTTTCATGATTTTTTTTTTTCCTTTTGAAATAGCAAAACACAGCTTTTGATTAAATTTTCTCTGGGATAAATTTTTTGACCCATTGCACTCTCTAGATCTCGAGGTCCCCAGTGGCCTCCCTACTACTAAGGTCCTCCATCTCAGGTCCCCTGGGGAAATCTATTTTTAGTTCTCACTTTGGTTTCCAGATTATCTGTTGAAAGGAAGACTGAAATGTCCTCTTTTGTTAAAATAAGTCCATGGTCACCCTTTGGAAAGAAATATTCTCACAAAGGGCCCTGGTGGTGGCCGTTTCTGTATACACTTTGGTCAGGGACAATATAAATCTGAGATTTAGGGATGGGTTCTGAGAAAGTGATGAGCCCTAACATTGTTTGTACCCTTGATTGTGTGGGTAGACTTTCCTGGAGAGATGGTCCCCAGTTTTCATCAGCTTCTCCCTGGACCCCATGATCCTGGCCTGCAGTGACTCTGTTCCTGTTGGCTTAGCCAGCTGATAATCTGATAGTTATTCATTAGAATGGGACAATTTTTCCTTTCCCACATTCAAGCAGCAGTACTGCTGGCTACTTTATGAGCAGGGATGACAAGAAAAGTCAGGCTAGAACAAGCTGCCTGGCCCCAAAGTAGCCCAGACTTGCATCTGGACCTCTCAGAATTTACTTCTGTCCTGTGCAATGCAGGATGGAATTTAGGAGCAATGTCAGGGGTGGTCTATGTGTTTAAATCCAGGTTCCTGAGGGCAGCACTTTGGGATTGCAAGCGAAGGAGTGACAGTAAATTGGTGAGGGGCATCCCAGACAGCTGGAGTGTGGACTGCTTCAGGCACAGGCTGGGCATCTTATCCCTTCTAATAGGCCTTGCTCTTGTCTCAATGACAGTGTTGCTACACCCGTAAGCTATGACACAAGCAAGTGCCAGAAAACTTTCAACAAGGAGACCTGCAGTTTTACAGTGGTGGAGCAGAAGAATCCAGGAAAGTCTTGTTTTGTAGGTGGATGGGTGCTGTAATGTACTTCTAGTGGGCCCAGGGCTCCCAACCAGAGGGGTCCCAGGACCTCCCAGTCCAAACCTCATTTTCATATGGCCTCTAATAGTCTATATGGTTTTGTAACCGTACCTATCAATAAAAATAAAAAAAATAAAAATTTTAAAAAACTGAGCAAACCCTTGAACATGTGTATTGTTATTTTTAAATTATGTGTGCATTGATTTAAAACACATTATAAAACATGCAAACATTTAATGGAAGGAACAAAAAATAAATATGAATAAAAGTTATAGTCTTCCTACACTCCAATAAATCATTGTACATCCTCTACTCAGGCACTGCTGCTTCTGTTGCTTTGATATATCTGCACTCTGCTGCCCTGGTGTCCCACTTATCTGGTGAACAGTTCAAAAGATAAATGTGTCTTCAAATGAAATCAAATCCTGTCTTTGCTTAGAGTTTTTCATATTTATCCTTCCTTCCTCTTCTTCAAAAAGTGTCCTTCATGCTGCATCCCTCATATACCTCTGTGTTTGCCTCAGGTTAGATCTTAGGGCAGGACAGCCTGGAAGAAGTAGCTCCAAGACCACATGTAGCCAGATGGGGTATTGAAAAGCCAGGGCCTCTGGCTTGGGGGAATGGCTGAAGAGTAGGGCTCCTATATCAGTTGTCTCCTGCTGCATAAAGAAGACCCCAACCTTTAGGGATTTAAAACAGTAACAATATTATCATCTGCTTCTGTGTTAGAGAACATTTGTTCACTCAGTAGGTCTTTAGTAAGTGCCTGGGCCAGGCAGTGCTATAGGCCTGGGGATACAGCAATGAGGCAGAGAGACGGATCACAAATGAGCAAGCAGTTAATGAAAGGAACTCGTGGGGGGAAACTTACAGAATTGGACTCATTTGGGGAACACAGGTAGTGTTACTAAAACAAACCCTTTCCCCCTGGGTCTTTGTATTCTAGATTTGTCTTGCCCACCTCCAGGTGCTAGGAATTGTGGCTCTCAATGCCAGAGTTCAGTAAAAAGGAAAGGAACCATTTATTCAAATTATACAGGTTTAGAATGTCACCATTAAAATCCCAAAGTCCCTTTAAAACATCCACAAACACACACAGTTCTTCCTTCCCCCCTTTCCCAAACAGGCCAGTCAGAGGTACTATATCTCAGGAAAAATAAATAGAAGTCCATAGCTCAGACTCCCGGTTCCTCCCAGCAATCCGTGCTCAGCTGGGTAGGTCTCCTGTAGTCCCCAGCACCATCAGCTGTGTCACCTCAATCTCCAGTTCTTAATCCAAAACCACATGGCACCTCCTCCTGGCCCACCAACAGGAGTCCGTTCACCCCTTTTCTTCCCACATGGTCTCACATTGTCCTTGTCCATAGTCCTGCATTGTCTCTCTTGCCTGGAGGCCCACTTTTAGTTTAAAACCCAGCCTGGAACCTCCTCCATTACCCCATTTCCAACTCCTCAATGATCAGCTATTCCTGCCAGCACTCCCACAGTTTATGCCTTTCTTGGCTGCCATAGTTAGTTTGGGCAGGAGTGGCCTCATGGTGATGAGTGAAACATCTCCAAGCTCTTGGGCAGGCACTGTAACCAGGGAGCTGCCTCCCCGTCATTCCTGGGTCAAAATCATGCCCAGCTCTCTAGCTAGGCTGATGTTGATACTCAAAATAACCATTTTTCATATGGGTATGAAGCTATCCTGCTGTTATTGTTATGCAAATTAACTCTCAATAGCCCTCTGTTGAACCATCAATTTGTGGGCAATTGGTTAAAGAGCTTTACGTCTTCTCTGACCTCTAACCCTATTTGTTTAAATGTGCTACTGGACTAGTTGAGCAATCCTAGGTAGGCCCCTTAGTTTTGGGGGGTAATTCTAAGACAATAAAAAACTTTGGTCACTGTTAGTGAATCTGCACCTGAATTGAAGAGAATGGGGGATGGGCAAGTTACCAGTATGATGCAGTGTGGACTCCCTGGTCTTGTGGCAGTGCTTAGGGTGATTACTTCCTCATGGGACATTTGTGGGCCTCTCTGATATTCACTACTGCTCTTTTTTCCACAGCTCTCCTTTCACTTACAGACTATGACTATGCCTTCTTTAATTCTGTGTATGAATCTACGTTTCCTGTTGCTTTCAGCTGAGATTGTCTCACCCCTTGTAGGAGTCACTCTTAGGTGGGATCCATAAAACTCTATCATGATTATCTCTTTGGTAAAGGCCTTCATCATTCTGGGAAAGTTGGGGCTCAGTTAGCACTCAGTATTGGGGACCTCTGTCAAAACAGAGACAGAAAGATTCCTGTTTTAACACCTGGTCACATGTAAATAAACAAAAAATTCCAATGTGGATGATGTCACACTGGGCAGATTGTGAGAGGTACAGAGTGATGAAATGTGAAGTATAGAAAATTGTGGTGTGATGTGGTGCAAATATTTACTGAATTTAAAAAATATGGCAAAATACACATAACATAAAATTTAACATTTTAACCATTGTTAAGTGTGCAATTAAGTGGTATTAAGTACATTCATATTATTACAGAACAGGGCCAACGGGGGGGTATAATATACTATTACTGAAAGGAACCCCCAGGTTCACTATGCCTGCCACCAGAGGAAAGACGTCTCTCAATGCTAGAGATTTGTGAAAAGGAAAGGAAACATTTATTTAGAGCAATACAGACTTAAAGTAGTGACCCAATGTCTTCCTTAAAATACTAAAGTCTTTTAGGATACCCACAGATGCACACAGTCCTTCCTTCTCTCTCTGCCCTAATCTGGGGTACCATATCTCAGGAAAAAAAGAAATCTGCGATTGAGGCTCCTGGCACCATCAGCTATGTCACTGTCTGGATCTCCAGTTAATCCAAAGTCATGTTGTTACAGGGTGCAGCCAAGAGGGGGGACCCCAAATGGGCATTTGAAATGGGGTCTGGAACTTAAGGTGTCCAGGAGATTTTAAGATGTCTCCATCCCCCCACCCAGGGTGTGGGTTGGGGGAAGGGACAAATGGAGCAAGGCCATTGAGAGCTGTTTTGCATAGCAACAGCCTTGCAGCTACCCTCTGGCATGGTCATTTAACATATCTATAGCCTTTGGCTGGTTGCATGGATATGTTAAATAGCTGTGATCATCTCTGAGCCAGGGGAAGGGAAGTAACTTCCCTACCAAGACGTGACTGGGGGCAGATCCCCCAAGCTACAGCGCCTGCATGGGAGCTCGGAGAAGACTGGCTCCAGGACATGGGGCCACACCTGCCCAGACTCATGATGGCAGCCCAGTAAAGCTGGAAGGATATGAATTCTGGCAAGTGAAGCCGAGTGTGGGAGGAGTTGGAAATGAGGCTGCAGAGGAAGATTGGCCGCGGGGATTTAAAACCCAGACTTGGCGGCCATTAGGAGAGAGAACCACGCGGCTTTGACGGAGTGGGGACTCTCCCCTTCCCACAGCCCTGAGAAGGAGAGCCATGCACAGCTTTAGAAGGGGGAACCACCACCTGGTTTTAGCAGAGACCCCGGCGACTCAGCCGAGGGTGCCGGGAACCCAGGGAGGTCTCCCAGTCAAGATGGAGGACTAACTAAGAACCAGAGGAATGTGTTCTGAGCCATGTGTCTGAGCCATGGACTTCGTTTTCCTTTCCTGAGATACGGTACTCTGGACTGGGCAAAGGGGGAAGGAAGGAAGGACTGTGACTGTGTTTGTGGGTGTTTTAAGGGACTTTGGGATTATTGATGAAGACATTAGGTCACTACTTGAAGTCTGTATAGCATTAAATAAACATTTCCTTTCCTTTTCACAAATCTCTGGCATTGAGAGACGTTTTTCCTAGGGCGGCGGACATAACGGACCCAGGGCCTTCTTTCAATAATAGTATATTGTCCCAGGCCCCCCTTGTGTGTTCTGTAACAATGTGGCACCTTCTCATGGCCCACCAGTAAGAGTTCTTTTGTTACAGAACAGATTGGGGGGGACATATACTATTACTGAAAGGAACCTCCCCAAGTTCATTATGTCTGCTGCCTTATAGGAAAGACATCTCTCAATGCCAGAGATTCCTGAAAAGGATAGGAAATGTTTATTTAATGTTATACAGACTTAAAGTGGTGACCTAATGTCTTCATCAAAATCCCAAAGTCCCTTAAAACACCACCCCCCACACACAGATCTTCCTTCCCCCCTTTGCCCAGTCTGGGGTACCGTATCTCAGGAAAAGCAATAGAAGTCCATGGCTCAGGCAGCCCCTGGCTTTTCCCAGTAATCTGTGCTCAGCTAGTAGGTCTCCCTCGGTTCCTGGCACCATCAGCTGTGTCATCAGGATCTCTGCTAAAGCCGGGTAGTGATTTCCCCCTTCTAAAGCTGTGGGGGTCCCCACTCTAGTAAAGCCACGTGGCTCTCCTTTCTATTGCCACAGCCTCATGGCTCTGTATACTGTCACAGCTGCATGGTCCTCTCTGCACAACGGCTGAGCGAGTCCCCACTCTGGCAAAGCCTTGTGGTTTTCTCTCACAGGGCTGTGGTCCTCTCTCTGTAATGGTTGCAAGGAAGGGGGTCACCACTCTGCCAAAGCCAAGTGGCAGTTCTCTGCTAAAGCTGCATGGTGATTCTCTCTCACAGGGCTGTGGGAGTCCCCACTCTGCTAAAGACCGAGTGGTTCTCTCTCTCCACTGGCTATGGTCCCTCCTCCAATGGCTGCTGCATCTGGGTTTAAATCCCTGTGCCAATCTTCCTCTGCAGCCCCATTTCTGACTCCTTCCACAATTGACTACACTTGTCAGCACTCTCATATTCTTCTAGCTTTACTGGGTTGCCGTTGTGAGTCTGAGCAGGCGTGGCCCCATAGCATGGAGCCAATATCTTCAAGCTCTCAGGCAAGTGCTATAACTAGGGGGAGTTGCCTCCCAGTTTCATCTTGCAGGGAAGTTACTTCCAACCCCCTAGCTCAGAACCTGGCCACAGCTATTTAACATATCTATGCAACCAGTTAAAGGTTATAGATATGTTAAATGACCATGCCAGAGGTTAGCAAAGCTGTTGCTATGCAAAACAGCTCTCAGTGGCCCTGCTCCATTTGTTCCTTCTCC